TGGTAATACAGGAAGTACTCCACTGTGTTTTTAAACTCCATACACCTTCACTAGAATCATTTGGATGATTTCAGCCCTGTAATTGCCTATCTCTATTAAACAAAAGGCAACCTTTATATACTGTGCAGTCATAGTGAATCATTATAGTAATGTATACCTTACCCATTTTAAACTACCCTTACCTTGTAATCTTAATGTAATATTTTACATATATTTTGTGACCTAAATCCTGTCTTCTTTGCATGTGTTGTCATAATTTTTTATTAGATTACATTAAATGATCTTTTATTTAGCATATGATTATGACAGTATCTCTCTTAATCTCTCTTAAGACCCTGTCTCTGTTCTGTTATATTGTGACCAAATATGTTGATACAGTAACTCTCAGCTCCGTTGCTTCATCTGTTCTAACATTTCCTGAGTTGCGATTATGATTTGTACTTGACAGCTGTACTAAAAATGGTTGGCTTATTTAGTAAATGAGGTCAGACAGGAGTAAAGTTGAAGTACACATGCCGTTAACCCTGCAGAGGAGGCCTTTCGATTGACAAGTGGGAGGAAAACAGCTAAAAATCAACTAACAGGGACATAAATCAAACCAGACCAGAGACCCACTGTAGTTACTCCTATCTAGATTTGTTTAAGTCGAGAGTGAAAAGAAGCCAATCAATACTGCATATGTTAGTGCATGTGTGAATGGTTACAAGAGACTTTCTCCTTGGTGTAGCGTAATGAGGAAGAGGGGGGCGCGGGCTGGAGGAGGAGGAGGGAGAGAAGAGATTGAAATAAACACAAGATGGTTAGCTCTTTTTATCTACCTTAGTAAAGCCCCACTCAGCATGGGGTTCCGCTGCTAGAGCTGAGGGCGCTAGGAAAAGATCTAGCTTGAAAAATACTAGTAAGACTGAAAGACTGTGTGTTTAATGATGTATAATAATTGATCTTTTGCTCATTATAAAGTGCATTTTCTGAGAAGTTTTAGTTAGAATACAAGATTACCAAAAAATGTATCATTCCTGAAAATATTGTAGTTGGAATGACTAGTTTATCTGAAGAAATATTGTAGCATTATAGCAACCAACTAATCATATCTTGCACTCAAGTAGAAGAAAGTTTGAGGTCTGTGTAAATCTGTAATGGTAAGTTGTGTCTGTTTGTTACATATAAAAAAAAAAAAAATCAGTTTTCAGCATGTTTTTAAAGTTGTGTAACCTTTCTGAGATGACTTTACTTTTCCTAGAATGTTCCACAGTATGGCATTCATTATAGTATCTATCTACATGGAGACAAGCAGATGACAACACCAAGCCAAGTTGCATGTCAGATCTGTAAAAAGGGGACACTAGTAAGAATGCACATACTTTGCGGGGTAGATACAGTTAATGCCATACTGTGGAACATTCCAGGCAAAGAAACAACTCCCTTCCCCATGGAGCCTGCAGCTGGTGTACCTCCAACCAGAAAAGCAACATAGTGCAACTTCAAGAAAGTGTGCAGTTGTAAGTTTTGGAAGCGAGGGAGCAAAAGCCAATATTTCTGTCAATAGTAAAACAAAACGTTGCAGCCAGAAAAAATAACCAGAAACTGCCTCAATCGTGCAACATCCCCTGCGCCCGGGAAAAGAGCGGCCTTATAGAGTAAACACACTAAGAAGATTTGACAGTGCGCTCTCTGTCTGTATGCTTTTATGCTTGAGCGACAATGATGGCAGAAAAAAACAGACACGGATTTGGCCTGTAAAGACGACAAGAGAGAGAGAGTGCTTTGGTTGCTTGGAGGGGTGGGGCGTGTGAGGCTATGATACAGACTGTTGACATGAAGCTGTGGTGTCCCGACATGGTGTCACGCATGTCTCTACAACCGACTTAAGCGTCCGGGGCAGGAAGTGGTGCTGCACTATCTGGGTCAGCTGATTCATTATGGACATCTGGGCTCGTTTTTTTTTTTTTTTTTTTTACACATAGACCGGAGATGCCTGTTGGACGGAGGGAATCCAACTGGGTCTTAATTAAAGGGATGTTCTCTATGGAGCCAGATTTGAGCTGGGTGAAGATCTAGTCCACTTTATCCCACAGTGAGGTCTAAATTAGGATGGGATTTTATGGGAAATGTAGCCAGTCCACAAAAGCCTTCTTCTTAGGTGTTGATGGGTGGGTCCATGATTTGGACTAAAGTACAATGATCCCTCTGACTTTTCATTGTCCTGGTATCTAATCCAAGCCTATGCTAGAGCCGTATTGTTGTGTGCCGTAATCTTTGTCTGGAGGGTCATAGCTACTTTAAATGCACACACAGAAATCATACAGCACAGACATGAAGACTCTCTTAAGGGAGATTAGACTATTGATTTTACTAAAACACAGTTAAAATCATTATATTAAAGGAAAAAAAAAACTTGGTTGGAAATTGTGACATCAAATTAGGGAAGTCCATAAGTGTTACCTATCTAAACACCTCTAATGTGCACAGACATTATTATAGGACAATTTGTTTCTTTCATTTGACTCTCCCTAGTGTGATGTAATCAATAGGTTTTATTAGTAGAACTCCCCAATTCCTGCAATTTTCAACATACTGTATTTGCTTCTTGATGGGCGTAAAACTATACTTTATATTTGCAATAGTTATAATCCCACCAAATTAATCCAAATTAGAGAACCATAAAAATCTGTCATATGTACTTTAAGGTGAAGTAGTTTCATATGCATGTAAAAATCATTGTCTTTGCACTTTTGTTTACTTGGATCTTTGACCTCATTTTGGAGTAAATCTCATGCAACAAATCCCCTTTACTTTTCACTTGGCTTCCCCTCTGCAGCGTGAGAGGGTGCAGTAAATCCCTCATCTCAATGTCACCGGATGCTCATTAAAATGTGAGCGATAAAGTATTAGGCAGAAAAACAGTTGGTGGCGCTATTTCTTCATCTAATAAATGCAAACAAAAGGAAAGCATCTTCTCAGTGAAAGAAGTAGGCCTAACCCCGGAGTGAAAAAGTATGAACACTTTCTACCAGCCTCAAAAACATGTACATTTTTAACCGTGGTAGGAACCCCTCTGGATGTGTGTCCTTTTTGACTGAATATTGCTTAGTCTCCTCTTGTCTTGAGTGGAATATCACAGAAAGCTAATCCTCCAGGGAAGTACTCTTGACCAAGATCCAAGCCTATCTGGAGATGTGTCCTCGTAAGTGTCCTCTCCTCTTAACAGAGTGACAGAGGTTGAAGAATGGGTCAAATGCAGTGAACTAATCTGGTGTTTTCAACCTTGTCACCTGCTGGGTTACAAGCAAGTATCATATGGTATACAGCTTCATTTACATACAAAACAACACTTCACTCAGTCTGGGGAAGAAAATGCTTTCATTTCACGCTTTTTTATGATGTGTCACCATTTCATTGACATTGCGAAATCTACAAAAGTTACCTCTAGGGCTTAAACTTTTCTCATTAAAATTCAGCACTGCCACTTATAATAATGTCAGCTAATATTCCTGAAAAGACATCTAATAACTGTGCTCTGTATCTACAAATTGCAGCTTGGTATGCGTCTGCAGTAGCGCCCGATGGCTGTGAGGCAGAGGAGACAGCTGTTTAGTCCAAGCTTCACTGATAGACCTCTGTGTGCTTTTGCTTGAGGACCCCAAACCTTCCAAACATCACTCCATCTGCACTGATGCGCTATTAGCCGTTCAAGGATGCTGCAGCAGAGCCAGATGCTGCAGGCTTCAGCCTATCAGGTAAGAGCCCAGTGAATGGTAATGCCACCTCTTTGGACAGCGCATGATGTAGAGAGGGATAAAATACTGGACAGGGCTTTAAACGGCCTCCTGTTACTGAATGAGATCGATAGCTCTCCGGTAACAGGATTGTCAAATTAAATTTCGGTTGTTAGAAATGATTACTCGTAGTCATACAAATTGGGCAGTGGTGTGTAATGGGCGAGGGGGGTGAAATTGGTGGGGAATAGGAGTCACTCGGGGCACGAGTGATCGACTAGTCCAGGCAGGGGCAATCGATAGTGCCGAGGGCAAGAGTTTGATATGTCTCCCTGATAAGTCTCTATGTCTTCTGAGGCTTGCTATAATAGAGCAGAGATAGCATTTCCAGGCAAAAGCACACATATACACAGGGACACAAGACCAGGGCAGCCATGAACAAATACTGAACCCAAACAGTGCAGCACGACACACATTTAATCTTCCTCGCATTCAATATGTCTCTGGTTTTCAGACGCTGGAGTCAAAGCAAAAAAAAAAAAAAAAAAAAAACACCTTTGAAAAAAAAAACATTGAGAAACGCTTTTTTCTCATCCTATACTATCTGCAGCAGCACTCTAATGCCTGAAGCTGCTTTTCTATGGTGCACCAGTCCTTTTTATAGCACTGTGATTCGACTTTGACAAGAGCTTTTAAATCGTGTCATTAAAGGTTTTACTAATTTATCGGTGGAGTTGTTTGACTAATTTCAAGAGCAAATGAGTTAGCGAGGATAATGTGTCAGGATGAAATGTGAGGAAAGCTTGTCATCAAATGTTTAACAATTTAACAAAGCTAATACGCTGAGGTGAAAGTGAACCTAGGTAAATAACTTTTACTTCTGTTAAGTTTGGAATATTATGGTCTCACATTTATTCCTAAGACTTTAATTATAGTAGTAGTAGATTGAATACTTGTTGGATAGTGATATTGATAGTACTTGCAGGTGTTGTAGGAATAAGTGTATCTGCTATATAAGTGCTGATTATTCGCAGTAAGTATCTGGTAACAGTGGTGAGAGATAGACACTTGTGTATATAGTTTTAATAAAAGTAATAGTTGTTGTTGTGCATAGTAATAGTTTGAATAGTAAGAGAAATCTAATAGAAAAATAGTTGCTGTGCTATTGACCGTAATAGTTTTTTTCCTGAGCAGAAAAAGTATTTTTTTGTCTTAAGTCAATCACACATCTTCATCATATTTCCTCGGCCTCTATCTTGATTTATGATTCATTAATATACTTGCCCAGTCTTGGCGAAGTTGGTCCAGTAGGTCATGACCACAGCACTCAGCATCACGTCATTCTTGGAGAAGTTACAGGGGAACAGGTCAGTGGGTCCAATCATGGGAATCCCAAACACATAGGGCACCTCGTCTCCGTGTGCTGCGTCAGACCAGGCCGGCTTCATCAGACTCTGGCAGTGATGGTAAAAGGCGTAAAAGTATGTGGGTGATCCATATCTGGCATGTAGATCCGCTGTTACCACTGAAGGCTCCACCCATTGGTGATCTGTGAAAAGAGCCACCAAAGTTTTGCGCCTTGTTTCTGGGTTGTCCCTATCAGCCCAATCTGTATACATAAACTTAATGGTCTCTCGAAGGGTATCCTTGCCTTCCGGGTATCCATACAAACTGTCAACAAAATCCGACACGGAAAAGTCAAAATCATTCCCGGAGACGCCATCTTCCGAATCCACAACATTCTCCACAAATCTCAGACCCTCCCCCTGGTTGACCCCCAGCATGATGTCATAGTTAAGAAATTCCCCCTGCTCCATCAGAATTTCTGGATCATCCGGAATTACGTCTCCATCGATGACTGGCCCGAAGGCAACGTGGTAGCGGGCTGGCTGGATATCCTGCTCCACCAGCTCCCGGGAGCTCTTTTTCCTGAGGCAGTCCACCATGTCCAGGGTGTCCAGAACGTTGCAGCCCACCTTCTCGGCCAGCAGACGGGTATATTTGACCGGCTGGTAGTTCACCGCCCAGCTGGAAAGGGCCGAGCCACTTTGGATGATGGCTCGATGGAACAGACCTGCAACAGAGAATGCAAACACATGAGATGATGTTTAGATCATGAACATAGTCCACCCCGATGGATTCATATTATTATTTCAAACAAATAAATAAATATAGTTGAGCAGACATTATTTGTAATGTTTTACAAGCTTGAATTTTCACACAGCAGAGAACAACAGGTACCTATGTATGTCCTTTGAATACAGTTTTCCAAGAAGGGAACAGTAATTGTAAGTTCTTTTAATTGTACTCTGTATTCCTAAACATTTCCTTTAGCAATTTACAATAAAGTGCATCTGTTGGATAAGCCCACTCAAACCAGCCCCGTGTACACCACTGTTTCTTCCATAGTCCACTACTGAATGATTTGAACCACTGGATACCGATAACACAGACTCAGAGAGAGACAAGAAATAGCTCAAACTAAACAAAAAGTAATAATTCAAGTCCCGTGCTTCAAACTGTGTCATAGTAGTTCACTTAGTTGTTCCAGCGGACCAGGCGCTCAGCAGTCCACATAAAAACAAAGACCAGACCTCAGTTCTTGTTGCCACACGGTCCAATAATGAAATTCGGCTTGTTATAATGAATGTGCAGATGGGCTGGTCTCGCAGACAGCTCTCAGACAGTAGGCCTTCTGTCTGTCTCTCAACCTCCCCCTTTTCCATCCATCTCTATACTCTCCCTGTAATATTCTGTCTGTATCAAGCAGATGCTGCAATATGCTTCTATAATCTTGAGTACAAATAGTGCCGAAAACCTGGCAACGCAAACCCATGAAATGCCAGATAATATTTAAGCTTCTGAGAAGTCCAACTTAAGTGTCGCCTTTCGTCTAAGCAGCCTGCACCCTTTTGGCCCCCTCCCTTTAATGTACTTTTCAGGCAAAGCTCAAATTGGAACGCACTCAAACAGAGTAATTATAGACACGATGCACCTGCTTCCAGACATTACATGCGCACACATATTTGCACAAGATGGCTGCAAGTCAGAATTCAGCGTGTACAGCATTTCCATCAATACAAGTTTGTGGGTGGATCGCTAAAATTACAACTTACTCCTATGCTCTATATAGCTATTTTACACTATATGAATAAGAATAGTACTTAGTACAATACCAAGCCAAAGTGCAGCAGGCTTTTTCAGGCGGGATACAGTTAAGAGTACTGCGTGGGCGCGTGTGTGGGAAGCATAAAGGAACGGAGGAAGAACTTAGCCTCCCAAATGAAATTGTGTTTTCAGTAAATGCAGCAATACTTTCTACTAAAAGGATCAGGATACAAATAACAAACATCGTGTCCCTCAAAATAATTAGATTTCTGAAAGTTCCAGTGCAGTCAAGGAAGCATGTTCATATCCCACATAGTATAGCTTGTTTTGACCACACCACTCAAGTCCAGCTATGGGTCTGAAGTGCAATTTTAGCATTCTCACAGAAGAAGAAGAAGCAGAAGCAGAAGCAGAAGAGAAGAAGAAGAAGAAGAAGAAGGAAAAGAAGATCAAAGCAGATCAAAGATGTCAATTTCAAAATTCTCCATAATATTTACCCAGTCAAACAAAGATTCAAATTAGAGATAGATTACAACTGTGACTTCTGTCGCAGCGAAACTGTAACAATCACTCACCTGTTTTACCATTGCACATACAGTAGAAACATCTGGACCCACATACAACAACTCATCCAAACCAAAACCAGACACGTGATCAGCCTCCAGGAAAATGACGTCCCGTTCTTCTTCAACAACTCCTCCTTCCCCAAAGATCTCTATTTCCTCATTCTGACTTTCATCATGCTGGCCAAGTATCATACACGAAACAAAGTGGACTCAAGACAAGCCAAATGGTCGTCATCATAATAACGAAATACAGCAACACTTCCAAACAATAAAACAAGTCCAAAACAAAAAAGGTATTAAAACATATAATATCTATAAGAAATATGTATAACAATATCACCCCACCCTACATTTTGATACAATTCTTTATTTAATTATTGTTTTGTTTTGTTTTCTTTCTTCTGCTCTCCTGTATAAGCAACTGCACACCACCCCCGTACAGTATATGTTGTCTATGTGATTGTATGTATTTGAATATACTGAAGAATAAAAAAAAGGCAAACAAAAAAAGAAGAAGCACAGAAGATGCACAACAAAGCAGATTTGTAGTCTATGCCTATGTGGTAATCGATGTGAGTCAGACAGGTTAAGTAAAAGCATTAGCTAAGACATAAGTAAGATGTGAAAAACATACTGCAATACACACTAGCCTGCAATAGAAAAGACCCAGTATCTTACTTCTGTGATTATTTGCTCTAAGATCTTCACATAAACAACAGATTATAACATTAAACATAATTTTCATCATGTAATTGCAACAAGGTTTGGAATTAGTCACTAGATCATTAATATTAAAGCATTTTTTCCCAGAACAAAGTATTTTCTGTATTCCAAACACACTTTTAACACATTATTTTCACACCTTACTAAAATGTTTTGCTGAAAGTGTTTACTGGCCAAAAATTCTCAAGATGACAAAAAAATAAAAAATCTACTGTGGAAAACAGTAAAAAGGTAGAAAATCGTTTAGCTACAGCTACATTGACACCATAGGGAAAGTGCTGTGAAAAACATGGCATGTTAGTTAGTGATATTTCAGTATGGGAGTGGGTGGCATTGCGTTTATGAGGTAAATAGCAGACCTAAGTGCCAGATATATCACTTTGGTGGTCTTAATCAGAGGCAGCGGGGGGCTTATTTCTTCTTGGCGTAGATGAAGTGTTTATTTACAGAGCTATTTACATTTATTTGTTTGTGGCTAGTAAGTAGAATTAATGTGTCTGGGTGAGTGAACTGTGAAACGTTTCAGTGGGGAGCGCCTTCGCAGCATTATAACTTTGCATTAGAACATTGATTTTCCTTGTGCCTTGAATTGTGATTTCTACTTCTTCTCCTCCAGTCTTGATTCGATCTATGCAATGATCTGATTTGTGTTCCATCTGAAGAAAGCTGCAGCTCTCCTCTTTTTGGGTTTGCCCTGAATATGCCCCTTAAGCTGTCTCAGTGTTGTGATTAGGCTAGCCTATAGATACAGTAGTAACTAAGATCTCTGTGTTTGGTAGTATTTCTTATTTTACATTAAGTATTTATATTTAGTTGCAGTATTTGTAGCAGCAGAAAGTTGTACAGCTAGCGTGGGTCTACTACTTCTTTTATCTATGGACATATCTATGGAGACACTTTTTAAAATATTCCCTCCAGTCCTTGTATTTGCATAGGTCGCCGGTGCTAGGCTAGCGCATGTCAATGGCCATAGTTAGCCTGCCACTAAAACCAGTCTTACCCAAATTAGCAAATCTATTATTATGCCAGACTGTCGATGTGAATGTCTGTGTCGATAGAATAATTTTAGAAGTAAAACCAACCTTGAAGTTGAAGGATTTATGTGTGAGCAGCAGCAGCGAGTTGTACTTCCTGATAGAAAGCTCGGCAGCGGCGGACTGATATCACCTAGCACTTATCTTACCAGCAAAGTAAAATTCCGCTGCTGCTGAGAAAATAGTCCCTCAACATGCGACGATTTATGCAGTGCAAGTTAGTTAGTTAGTTTTAGTTCAAATATTATTTTATCAACACAGTCATTTACATCGACAGTCTGGTGTAATAATGAATCTACTTCGGATGTTTTGTGGAGTGGGTTTTTGTGGGTTGTGAGTTTTTAGTGGCAGGCTAACTATGGCCATTGACATGTGCTAGCCTAGCACCAGCAAAAACTGCAAATACAAGGACTGGATGGAATATTTAAAGAAGTGTCTCCAAACATCTCCAACACTTTGGCTCACTAGGAAATGAGGTCCTATGTCCAAAATTCAGGATTGTTCCTTTAAAACGATCTTTATAAAACAAGCAAGTAAGACCACCAGGCCAAGCTAGAAATGAGATCTATGGAGAGGCGTCCCAGCAAAGTATATTTTGAGATATAAAAACATTGTAATTAAGTAAATGCCAGATAACATATGTTTAGTGCCATACTGTGGAATATTCAAGTCAAAGCAATAACATCTCCATGGAGACAAGTGGGGGGTGGACTCCTCAACAGGAAAGGGGAACCTTTAAATGAATTGCTTAAAATCCCACAGGGTGTCTGCTTGGGTCAGTGGTCTGGGCCATGTCCTGGGCAGAGGAAGCAGATGTGGAGGGTCTGCCTACTTAAAGCATTACAGGAGCAGTGTGAGACCAGATGAGTGACACAGAGTGGACTGGGGCACATGCAGAGGGGTGGGGGGCTTAATCCTCTGTATGCCCCTGTACACCCCCACCCCCTCCTCCCCTCAGTGCTCGGTGCTATTGCCTCTCTGCTCCGGTTTGCTCTGTGCAAACACATACAGTCATGGTGCAGGGAGCCCGTCCTGAATCCCAATGCTGCAGGCCGCGCCACATCCTCTTTCTGAGTGTCTTTGATCACAAGTTTCTCCAGGAAAATATTTGCAGTGAGGAGCAGGTTTTTGATTGATAAGGGGCTCTTGACAGACACGCATCAAGTGGGTTTACGGCAATGAACGGCGGCAGCTTGCTCCTGCATCTGTCTGCTTAGAGTTTAGAAGAAGTCATTCTAAACTTGGGCTGTACAATATTAGAATGTGAGAACTGTGTCAAAGACTGTGCTTAAGATATGACTTCTGATGGTTTTGGGTTAGACAGTTTAGTAACACTGACACACTAGAGTTTATTTATTAATACTTCAAGTCTTTCATGTCAAATGTGAGGCTAAAAACATCAAGTCAAATCTTGTAAAAAGAGCATTTCACAGAATCAAACTGTAATCACCAAAAACATATTTCGAAAGTTTGTAAATGGTAGTGAAGAATCAAAGAAGAGACAAACTAATGCAATGCAGCTGCACAGTCCCTGCCACCCACATTGAAGCCTGTTAAATGTCCTATTTTTCTCAAAGACTTTTCAAAAAATTCAAATGTTGAGAGTTTGAAGGCACAGTAGAGTCAAGCTGTAGTGAATCCAT